TTAGTTTCGTAGTAGTCGCGAGTACCCGACCCAGTGCAGGACTCTGCTGTGAAGGTGGAGACATGCGACGGTGGTGTATTTGCGACAATAACAAAAAAATTGAAGGAGCAGCAGTGAGGATTAAAAATGGCGGGCTGCTGCTGCTAAATGAACGTAGGGGAAACACTGGTTGCATCCTTGATAGGCTCAGATATGTTTGGTCATTTTGCTGATTTATTGGAGTGTTGTCAATGAAAACTAAAACTAAACTAAAACCACATTTTCCTCAAATGGTGGAGAACGAAATGAAGCTAAAAAGACAAGGAAAGTGGGCTTGCATTTTTTAGTTTTTGATGTTGTCTCCATGTATGCTAGACTTATTTGCTAAAATGTTCAAGGTAACAACTTATTAGGGAGATGATACGTCAACACTGTATTTTAGCTTGTTGTCCTGCCCTAAAGTGACTGCAAAAAATCAATGTAAAGATTTAGGTTGGGTTTAAAGACTGCATAGACTCTCTGTGGTTTTTAGAAAATTCAGCAACCCTTGTGCTGCCATTCGAAAAAATTATTTTTGTGGGTTTTTATTTGCCCCATCAACATGCCTCTACAGACTGAGTGAAGCTTTGCTCTCCTTGTACATAGATGTTTTTCTTCCTCCTTGCATAACTGTCAGCCACCTGAGGTTTCTTTACATTACGAAACTGTGTGGTTCATAAAAAAAAAAAAAAAAAGAGTATGTTTCCTTATTTTCATTGGAGTTGATTGTGAGACAAAAGCTGAATTCATGTCTTTCCCACAATGCACTTTTTTAGCTTGGCTCGTGTAATATGTAAAGAGGAAGTTGACACATTCTGGTGGCAGACATGGTAAACAAGCATCACTGGTAGGTCTCCAACTGGTATTGGGAAACAACAAGGTTTTTTTTTGTCCAATGGGTCATGGAATTTATCAAAAGAGGCATTTTTAGGGGAATACTTGTGTTTCTGTCTGACATAATTTACAGTAAGAGGTGTAATTATTGAACGTACGCCACTTTTGCTGGCGCCGTGCCATGTGGCAGCCTGTTGCAGCAGCTCCCGACAACCCGCTTCTTATTTTCGTTATTTCATCGCATTTTTTTTGTTTGTTTGTTTTTTTGAGCAGTAGTATCCTGCTTTTACGCTGTGTGGTGCACCTGGAATTCAACAAATTCCAGGTGGCTTTATGAGACTTAGTCTCTTTTTTTCTCCACTTTATTCCCTTTTTTTCCCGAACTGTACTCATGTCGCCCCTTACAACATGGGGCCAAGGCCATATCACTGCTCGCATTGTTTACACGTGAGAACAGCTGATTGCCCTGAGCCAGCCGTCCCTCAATGCTGGAGAGAAGCCGTCCATTCCAGGGACAATAAGGAAGCAACACTGTGGCTGCAGATGAGGGGTTAAAGTAAGGATGAAGAAGAGGAGGTTTAAGCTCTGCATTCCTGCAGTTATCATGGGGAACATGAGATCCCTGGAAGTGCTCACCAGAAGCCAGAGTGAGTACAGGGAAACCAGTCTCATGTGTTCTACAGAGACGTGGCTCCATGATATGATACCGGACTCCACCGTGATTCTCCCCGGCTTCCACATGGTTCGTTGTTGCCATTATTGTCTATATTCCTCCGTCTGGAAACGCAGAAACGGCGTGTGACGTCATCCACGCTGTAACTGCGGGACCAGACCAAACACCCTGGAGCATTCATATTCGTTACTGGGGATTTTAATTATGCCTGTCTCTCCTCAAGTCTCCTCCGACTTGACGACTTGCCTCAACAAAAAGAAGAGGGCTTTCAGAGTGGGAGACTGAGCAGAACTCAAAATTTTACAGAGGGAACTCAAACACAGACTCAGAGAGAGCAAAGACACCTACAGGAGAAAACTGGAGGAGAGGCTGGAGAGGAACAAGGCCAAGGATGTCTGGAGTCAGCGGAAAGGCGCAGGAGGAGGAACTGCAGGGCAGAATACAGCTGGCTATGGCTCAGGTGGTAGAGCGGGTTGTCCTCTAATCGCAAGGTTGGTGGTTCAATCCCCTGCCCCTCCACAGTCGAAGTGTCCTTGGGCAAGACACTGAACTCGAATTTGCTCCCAATGGCAGGCAGCACCTTGCATGGCAGGTCTGTCACCATTGGTGTATGAATGTGTGTGTGAATGAGAAACACATTGTAAAGTGCTTTGGATAAACGCGCTATAGAAGTGCAAACCAGATACCCCTTTTCCACCAAGAAGAACCAGGTGCTAGTTCCGTGCTGGTGCTAGAGCCAGTGCTTAGTTGGTTCCAATCTAAGAACCAGTTGCTTATCCATAGGCAAGGAGCCAAGTTAGAGCCACACTATACGTCACTGCATACGTAGCCATTTACTGAACAAGGCTCGCGCCACACAGAAGTCCACACAGGACTCCAGACTGACTTTTTTCCTGGTGTGACCAACTTTCCCATTTGTTTGCACTTCCCACCTTGTCACAGGCAAAACATATGACTTGCTGAACATTTTCTTGTAGATAGACACTACAATTTACGATTTTCCCTGAACGCCCCACACTGCAGACTGCTGTAGCTGCTGTTGGTGGCTGCGGTGCTCGGTGCAACCAAAAATGGCGTACTCAGTGCTTCCCTCTGGCCCAGCAAAGAGTTGGTGCTTGCTAAGCACCAATTTTGAGAACCTGGAGCCGGTGCTTGGGTGATGGAAACACAAGGAACTGGTGCTAAGTCAGGCACTAGCATGGAATTACAATGGAATCGGTTTGATGGAAAAGGGTGCAGAGGGCCAATGAGTTGAACCAGTTCTTCAACAGGTTCGACTCCAGCCCCCCCTCCCCCACCAGCCCTCACACTACACCTTTGAACTGCCTCCCTCACCCCCCACAGTCTCACACCAACCGCCATCGTAGATATTTCACGGCTCCATCACAGCCAGCCAACACCCCCACCTCCCAGGATGTACTACACATCACAGTCCGACAGGTGAGGAGAGAGTTGGAGAGGCTCCACCAGGGAAAAGCTGCTGGACCAGACGGCATCAGCCCTTGAGTGCTGAGTGCGTGTTCCAGCCAACTGAGCAGAGTACTCCAGCATCTCTTCAAACTGAGCCTGTACCTTCAGATAGTCCCAGTGCTGTGGAAAACATCCTGCCTGGTCCCTGTGTCCAAGGTGTGTTGTTCCACTGCACTTAATGACTTCAGGCCCATAGCGCTGACCTCTCACATTATGAAGGTCATGGAGAGACTGGTACTGGCACATCTCAGGCCACTAGTGTACCCATCACAGGACCCGCTCCAGTTTGCATATCAGCCCCATGTCAGCGTTGATGATGCCATCACCTGTCTGCTGCAGAAGGCATATTCCACACTGGACAGACCCAACACCACTGCCCGCGTCACATTCTTTGACTTCTCCAACGCCTTCAATACCATCCAGCCCAGACTGCTGAAGGCCAAGCTGGAGGACATGCAGGCGGATGCTCCCCTTATCGTATGGATTACAGACTATCTTACGGGCAGACCGCAGTTTGTGAAGTTACAAAGCTGTGTGTCTAAACATCTGACTTCCAACACCGGGGCCCCCAGAGAACTGTGCTGTCCCCCTTCTTCACCACCTACACTTCGGACATCCAGTACACCACTGAGTCGTGTCACCTGCAGAAAGTCTCAGATGACACGGCCATAGTAGGCTGTGTGGAGAACAGGAGGGAGGATGAATACAGGAACCTGATGAGCCGGTTTGTGCGATGGTGCAGCAAGAACCACCTGCAGCTGAATGCGACGAAGACCAAGTAGATGGTGGTGGACTTCAGGAGGAGCAAGTCGCAACCCTCCCCTCTATCCGTCAAAGGGACTGATGTTGAGATTGTCCAGACTTCCAAGTACCTGGAAGTGGATCTGGACAACAAGCTGGAGTGGTCCACCAACACAGAGGCCGTCTACAAGAAGAGCCTGAGCCGACTCTACTTCCTCAGGAGGCTCAGGTCTGTCAATGTATGCAACTGCATGCTCCTGATGTTTTTATCGGTCTGTGGTGGCGAGCGCCATCTTCTTTGCTATGGTGTGCAAACTCATCAGGAAAGCCCAGTCTGTTGTTGGCTGTCAGTTGGTAACCCTGGAGGAGGTGGTGGAGCAGAGGATGCTGACGAAACTGCAGGTCATCATGGACAACACCTTACACCCCCTCCATAAAACTGTGGACAATCTGAGGAGCAGCTTCAGCAACAGACTGTTACAAGTAACTTTACAGGAGGTCTTTCCTCCTGACAACAATAAGACTCAATCTAAGCACATTATCATTTGCACATATCTGTATCTGTCTTATATCCAACCATTATCTATACACCGCTTAATCCTCACTAGGGTTGCGGGGGCGCTGGAGCCTATCCCAGCCAACTTAGGGCGAAGGCAGGGGACACCCTGGACAGGTCGCCAATCTATCACTTAGAGACAGACAACCAAGCACACTCACATTCACACCTCCGGACAATTTGGAATCACCAATTAGCCTCAACATGTTTTTGGACTTGTGGGAGGAAGCCAGAGAACCCGGAGAGAATACACTGCACAGGGAGAGCATGCAAACTCCGTGCAGAAAGATCCCGGTGTCCCCACCGGGATGCGAACCGGCGAGGCAACAGTGCTACCAACTGCGCCACCTTGCAGCCCTCTGTCTTATAGTCTTGTAAATTTTGTTGGCTTTCTTCTATATTATATTTTCTATATTTTATTTTGTTTTATTTTACCTTAATTTTATACCCTACCCTAATATTCTATATTGTCTTTTTGCTTTGTTTACCCCCTTTGTTGAACATGCTGCTGTTACACCTGGATTTCCCTCTGGGATTTATAAAGTCATTTTAAGTCTAAGTATGGCCTCCAAAATAAATATGAGACAGACTCTTTCTTATTTGTAATGAAAGATGATTATCCTCCTGCATATATCAGCCATTTGATTTGCAGAATGCCAGACATTTTTGCATTAATCCCCCTCATCTTTTGTTTTTCATCTTGCATAGGTGATGCAGCTGCTGAAGGAGAGTGGAACGGTGGAGGAACACAGTCTGGATAAGGAGGCGAGGAAATGGGCAAGCCGGGTGGCCCGAGAATACAAGAGCATCATCCACACACAGAGGGTGAGAATCAGAACCTTGGTCTGTTTGTTATACGTATTTATTTTTGTATTGCTTTCATTTGGACAGTGCACATTATTAAACACTACTATGAATTGGCCAAAGGACTGTTTTTCATTTTGTTTTTATCGCTGGTCCCTGTAAAATGTCAGAAAGTAAAACTAGAGAGGAACAAGAAGAATATAAAATTGTGATGACAGGAGTTCATTTACCTGCATGCGGAGCAAAAATAGAAAGATAGTAGCCGATTAATGATTGTTAAAAACCTCACGTAGGACACCTAATCTGGCTCTGCAGAGACTATCAAATATGACATTAAGAGAAGTTCTATTGTATTCTAAGTAAAGAGGTCTTTTAATAAACAGATGTCAATGTGCTTGTAAAACAAAGAAGTGTTTATAGGTCAGAGAGGCTGTTACAAAGACATAAAGAATAAAAACTAACCTGCCACTTTGTCCTTTGAGACTATTGAACAATTTTTAGGTCATAAATCATGTAATAATTTTTTAACCACATCATAATTTCCTTGTGCAAAGGCGAAGCAGCACACCAGGATCATTAATGATAACTGGCAAACATTAACTGCGGTAGTGGAACAAATGTCATGTTATATCGGTTGATGTAGATATTTCTATACAGGATTGACTACAGAACCTTTTATTAAATTTTTTGATAAAGTTTTGGGAGTGTTCTGGCCAAAAAAGGAAGCAGTAACAAACAAATATTTTGAGATAGAAAACAAAATATGCCTTAAACTTAAAATGACTAAGAGTAGTACAAAACAGACAGTAACTTAATGAGACTACAGGACACATTTTCTAAAATACCCACAAAGAGACAACATAGTTAGCAGTTTTAGATCTAAATGCAGAAAGTTTCTTGCAAACGTTCACCTAGTTCAGTGCAGACTTCAAGCATTTTGAGTAAAAGTTTGTCAGAATAACAAAGAGCATAAATACTCACATAGCTTTGTTGGTTAAATTTACATAATATAAAACAAGAAGAAGGAAAAAAAAAACATCTGTCTTGTCTGTTTTCAACACAAAACAAATATCAGTGTGACATGTATATAAGAAAATAATTTTTTGGACATGTTAATTTGCTCTATCAAAAATATTTCAAAGACACAGTGAAGAGAGACAGAAAATCTGAGAACTGACAGAGCAAACAAGCCAACTAGCCGGGAATCGAACCAGGGACTCAGCGCTCGCAGCCAAATCATATGAGTATCTGTAGATCCCTCCGAAAAAGTTAATACTAATAGCTTTTACTGCTGCAATTTTTAAATACAGGCTCCACTTCGATGTAGACGTAGTGCATGATTATGCTCTAGACTTGAAACTGCAGTTGCATATCAGTTAACTTTGAACTTTGCATTGTTTAGGCTCTATTTTTTAATATTTTGTGAAAGTGGCACCATTGAAAATGTGCCCAATTAGCTGTTAGCAGTCTTGTTAACAGTGTACCCATTGACAACTTTCACTGGATTACTTTGGCACTCAAGGAAACTTAAAAAGAGGATGATTCTCAGGCTAAATATGCAGTTATAAAGTCTTTTTTCGATTATTTTTTAAATAAATTGAATTACTTTTATTCACAGTGGACATCAAAGACAATGATATCCTTTGAAGCGATAAACACTGAATCTAAATATGTGTATCTTTTCTTGGTGTTTGGATTTTAATCCAAGACAGAGACGGAATTTTGATGCAAATTGCAGCTCCTGCCTCACATCTCTCCCCTTACAAAATGCAATGATGTGTGAGTGTCTCACTGTTGGTGTGATGTGTGAGTATCTTTTTCCAGTAAAATGGAATTCGACTCATACCATAAAGCAACAATATGGGTCACTTTGATAATAATAAACCAGGAGATCATAAAATCAGCTGCATTGTGCAAAGTAAAATGTGATGAAGCAACACAACACACGATAAGAGTTTATCCCCAACACTTCACATCAGCCTCTTTTCCTGATTTGTTGATCAGGTCACGGTAAGATAAGCGATTGCAGCTTCATTGGTGACGTGTTTCTCGTGCATCGGGATCAAACGCTCTGTTTCCAGTACTTCAGGAAATGAGTCACTGTCTCCATCAAATGTCTTCTCGTAATGGCTTTATTGTTGAACTGTTTCCACTTCATATGTTCCATATACTCTGGATGACCGTTTATTTGTTTGCTGTTGTAAATGTGAGTTTACGATTTCTTTCCAGGCCCTTGAGGAATACGGCACGCAGGAGTTGTCAGAGCAGAACAACAGCGATCTGGAGACCAAGATGGAGGTGGCCAGGCAGAGTCTTCGGAGGGCAGAGGTAACGTTTGTGTTTTACAGCAAGAAGTGAACTTCTCTGTTTTCGCCATCAGCGTCCTGTTACTTAAGGTGGCCCCAGTGCACCGCCTGCTGGACAGAAACTGAACAGACACACTTGGGGGTTGAATAATTGCCTTCTATCTATTCAACAACTAACATTTGTTTTAAACTGGGGCTCATGGCTTTGTAAAAAAGCGCCATTGTTGATTTTTAAATAAAGAGAATTTAAAAAAATTAAGCTGTGATACTAACTGTTCACCACCAGCAGCTTTCACTCTTCTTTTTTTTTCTTTAGTTATTCAGTTGACTTCCTCTTGGGATTTTTAATGCGTCTGTGCTGTTGACAGTCGAGGAATTATGTCTTCAGGTTGTCCATTCATCTGTTCCATTCTTGTGAACATGATATCTCAGTCATGCTTAGAGGGAATTTCTTCAAATCTGTCACCGAGGTTCACTTAAGGATAAACTGGTTAGAATTTGGTCGTCAGTGGTCGCTGTAACATCACAAAACATTATGGAAAATTTAAAAAAAACAAGGTCAGGCTCATTGTGACATTGTGATGTTCTTCAATAAAGTATGTTTTTTTGGCTGATGTTAAACCCCACCCCTCGGGAACAAAAGGGGAGATTGTAACCACGTTTCACAATTGGTCAGACACTGAATTTGTGACTCTGGCTTCTTTGCAGCAGCAGCCACATTAGAAGTATTGCCTGAAGTCATGGCTACAACTTTGTGTTTAAACAGAATCAGCTTAATTGGCCAAACATGTAAACACGTACAAAGAACATGACTTTGATTTTATCTTATTGTGAGTTGATGTAAACACATGTACAGTTTCACGACATATTTTCTGACTCTGGACAGAAAAGGATGCAGGCAACTTCACTGGTTGGCAGAGCCTTTTGTGTCTGTCATTTATTTAAAAGAATCGATATATTTGTTCTTTCTGTAAGTCTAAAAAAGGTCTAGAAATGTTTGCATTAATATATATGTTGGTTTTAGTGATCACCTGCCACATTGATTCCCCAACAGTTAAAGGCCAGAAGATGGATTTAATATTGAATTCATACTAAACATACTAGCAGTGTTTGGTTCATTTTCCACTTTCCAACCATAAATAAAAATGAACCAAAGTCTCACTGAAGGTGGACCAGAAGTCTTATTTTGAAGTTGTCTTGGTTCAGGTGTTTTGTCCACCACAGAGTTTGAACCAATGTAAATACAACTTAATACAGTTGAACCAAAACCAACAGGTCTTTTAAAAGCTCCTGTCTACTGACTGTATTTTTTTTTGGTAGGTAACATCAAGTGTCTAATTTGTTTTGTACCGGCAGACGGTGAAAGTGAAAGCAGAAGCCCGTCTGGACTTGCTGAGGCAGGCAGGAGTCGCTGTGGAAACATGGCTGAAGAGCGCGATGAACCAGGTGATGGAAGAGCTGGAGAACGAACGCTGGAACAACCTCAGTACCAACGATCCTTCACTCTCTGTAAGAAAAGCACAAGCATTACTGAAATACTGTTTTTACATGTATGACTTGTCTTGTGTATCCACAGTAACATCCACATTATTTTGAGGCCACAGCATCATGAATATCAACCACATGTTTGTTTGGGTAAAGTAGTTTGTTGCTGTGTCACATAAAGTATCGTCTGTCACATTTCCACAGGGAACAGCTGATTTGGAGCGAGAGGATGAGGAGATGGAGGACAGTGGCGAAGTGTTGGACGACAGCAGCTCCAGCCCCTCCAGCACTTTGAAAAACTATCCGCTCACCTGCAAAGTGCTCTACTCCTACAAGGTAACATTAGACGGTTTATTGGCACAATGCAGTGATAAACGCTGACGTAGGTGATAGATTTAGCCAAACAATACATGGTTTTTAAGTATATGCCCAGTTTTTTGTGCCTCTGCTTGTTATTTTTACACAAACAAAATTCAAACTGAACTGTTGTTTTCAGGCATCTCAGCCAGACGAACTGACCATTGAGGAGCAGGAAATCCTGGAGGTCATAGATGATGGAGACATGGAGGACTGGGTCAAGGTACTCTTCGGTTCCACTTATTTGAGCTATTCTGTCTAATTCGAGGTCTTGGACTTTAAGATTTCAGTTTAAGGCTTTCCCAGAGCAAACATTAGTTGCCAAGGCTGAGGAGGAATGACGTGACCAACTATTTTATGCCGTCAAGACTGCAATCGAGTGAATACGACATGGAATAGCTTACAAACAAAAATGGCAGCCTAATCAGGGCTTATTTACTTAAAACTCAAGCATGTACAAGACATGTGTCAAAAGGTGTTGCCATAAAATACTGAAATTAACAGTTGAGACTTCAGATCATTTTAAAAGTATGGATCAAAGTGTCTTATAAACTTGTTGCATTAACAGACTGAGTTGACTTGTCTTCTAAATATATACTCAATCCCAAACAATTATTACAGACCCTCCACGTACTGGTACCAACGTAGCAACACTGAGCACGATCAAGTTATTTATCTTTATTTATGCAGTAATTCTCAACACGAGTGGGACCAGCCTCTGCACTTCTTGTAGTGATTTTGCTTTGTGCATATTTACACTGCATCAATCCCTCGACTTCTTACCGTGATTGACAGGTATAGCTGGAAACGGAGTGCTGCAAGGTTATGACTCCCAAGCTTCCATCACCATCTATCATTTTCCACCAACACTTTCTCACTTGTCGTCACCATCTGTGTTAGGGCTGGGCGGGACCAAAAGTCAAATCCCGATATAATTAGACTGAATATCGATATACGATATATATATCCCGATATTTTTTCCGCAAAGTAAGAGCGAAATTAACATTGTTTTATTTTTGTTTTAGCAGGAAGCACTTTAATCTCTAAAGGGAGGAGAACTACGTTTTCTGACTAGTTCTGTTTTTTTTGTTGTCAAAGCCAAAATATAACATATTACAAGTAGTTTTATTGAAACCAGCAATTTCAGTGAACAGTTACAAAATTAAATGAATAAATAATAAAATAATACAACTGGTTTCTTCACCTGGTACATGAGTAAATACGCAGCTGTTCAAATAACAATAGAATGTAAACATAAATACTGTATAACAAGGAGTACATTTTTTGAAATCAAAGTCCTGTAAGGTGTTTTGTTCTTGTTGTTCTTAGTATTTATGCTATATTTTAATGCTACGTCATATTTTTACTCCACTAAAAACTCCACAATGTTTAGGCCTCCCTGTCAACATTAGTTTCTAGCTACTTTGCAGTTTGCTCTTTCAATCCAGAGAAAAACTATACTTTATCATAATGACTAAATATATGTTACATTGATGATATCTTTCTTATACAGTCTATGGTGCAGAGACCTCCAGGGGTCCGTTTCACAAAGCAGGTTCAACAAACTCTGAGTGTAATCCTGAACTTTGAGCTGATCTACTCTGAGATAGGAAACTCTTGAGTTTCCGGTTCCAGAACAGCGGATCTGAGTTAGTTTAATCAACTTGGAGTATTTTCACCTGGAGTTAAGCGCGTGCACCACAACTATAAACAGCCATTATCAATGGAGTCCCGAGTCCACGAGTCACCACGGCAACGGTAATGGCAATTGGAAATCTTAATGCGCTCATACAGCCAGTGTGAACGCGGTTTTAAAAAGAAGTGCAACACCGCTGCAGCCACAAAACAGAGGGAGACGGCTACTCGTGTCAATGCGTAGGTCTAAATGTCACCCTTTGCAATCACAATTATATCACAGGAAAACTGCTGGAATGGTAGCCTATTAATTCATTTCATTTAGGTGCAATCCCGTGGGGGAGAAGCGCACCGGGCAGCAGCTTAAGATGAAATATAAAAACACTGTTCAAGTCTGAGGTTGCAGCACAATGTCATTAACAGAACATGATTTAAAATTAATTGAACAGATCTCTGCATCATTCACCTGCAGTCCTGTGGAACTCCTCCTTGATGTCTCTGACACGTTTATGTCCAGGGAAAACGACAGAGATGGTAAAAGCCGTTTCAGAGCGAGGCACACTTCTCTGACCGCCCTGCATCTAGGTGCCTCACTCAGGTGCTCTGCATCTCCGACGTACTAAAACACTTCCATTTGCAAAGAAACGCAGCGCAACACGATATCTGCTTGGATGTGAGAGCATGACTACAAACTGCTTGGTAATGCTGCACATCCATCCATCCATCCATCTTCTTCCGCCTTATCCGGAGTCAGGTCGCGGAGGCAGCAGCCTTTGCAAAGCCACCCAGACTTCCCGATACGCACACACCTTACATGTCAGGACAGATCAGATTGTTTATGTAGATGATGGACTGCAGGGTTCTTGCCAGCATGATAACAGAGCAACGGCCCCCTACACTGCTGCCTGTAAAAATTACGCTGCAACTTAGGCCGATATGTTGTTATGTTATGTTTTGGAGGGTATGTAGCAGGAAAATATTTAACAATAAGCGCTGACGCAGTTTCTCTACCGTGGTCTTCGCTGCTAATGCTGCTATTCCCTCACGTCTTCTATGGTCTAATTCCATATCGCGTTTAAAACTATATCGATATATATTTTATACCGGTATATCGCCCAGCCCTAATCTGTGTGTATTTTCTGCTTTTCCAGGCCAGAAACCGCAGTGGACAGGTGGGTTACGTCCCTGAGAAATACTTGCAGCTGCCTTCATCCAACAGCCTGCTGAGTATGCTGCAGTCTCTGGCCGCGCTGGACGCCCGATCTCATTCCTCTAGTAACTCCACTGAACCCGAAACCGAACTCCCGACCGGCTCCGTCAACGGAGACTCCAGCGGTGGGCGACGCTTCCACTAACCAACAGCTGTTGATGTTTTGCTTTGTATTAGTTCTTGAACTTTTCTCTCTGTATTTCAGTGTCATTCGCGAAGGCCTTGTATGATTACGCGGGACAAACAGATGACGAGCTGTCGTTCCCAGAAGGCGCCATCATCCGCATTCTGAGCAGAGAGACCCACGAGGACGACGGTTTCTGGGAGGGAGAGTTTAACGGCGTTGTTGGCGTATTCCCTGCAGTTCTGGTCGAGGATCTCGCAGGTGCCAGCGAGAACGGAGACGGACAAAGAGACAACAGTGCACAGGTATGTTGATGCTCACATCAAACAGTATGTGACTGATGAGAAATGTAGCCACTAAATGTTAAGATTACATCTATAAAAAGACGTTTTTCAATACTTGAATGTATACAAATTGTGACATCCTCCTCTGGTCTGATAATCAGTTAACTCTATCCAAAATAGTAAATGAGGACTAAGCTAATTAACATTGTAGATTTTGTTTAATAATAGAATTTTACTTGCTGATTTTACCCCCTGATCACCGTAAGACCAAACAAGTGCATCACACGATCAGGTCATAATGTGGTTTAATTTCATATGTGTATATTTGACATGAGACTAATCTGTGTGGTGGAACATTTAGGACACATAGATACAGCATAACCACGTAATGCAGCAGCATATGTGCAGAGTCAGTCTGAAAAGAAAAATACACATTATATTTCATAGATGCCAACTGCAAAATGTTGGTACACATTCCTGTGAAATGTAGAAATCATAATTCTCATTGCATGACTTGGTTTTGTTAACTTTTAATTTCTCTGTCATGACAAACATGTGGCCCATTTGATTCTGGTAACCCAGAGGGGAAAAAAATAGAAACCAAAGAGAAGCTCCAAATGAATTCCTCACAGAATAGAATGAACTTATGTCTGCAGTTTTTTCTGATGAAGGGCTTTTTCTCTTCTCCCAGGTGTTAATTTAAATGTTTTTTTATGTTTATCATGAGATAAAATTGTGGTGAACCCTCTGAACCTGAACACCTTCTGGGCTTTCTTTCTATTTTTGCTCCTGTCCCATTTTTACTCACTGTGGGGTAACTTTTCATTGCACTATAAAGTCCTTTCTGGAAACAGCAAAACCGTGACTGGAAGTTCTTCTGGGGTTCAGAGGGTTACAGCATTTTGTGTTGTCTGGTTTCACAAAGCTTCAGTTGGTCACTGTGTAAATCTTGTTGTGTTCAAGGCTTCGCCCTCCACTTTGGCGCAGTGTGATCGCGCCCCTCGCAGCCCCTTCCAGCCGGGGCCCCTCCACAGCAGCCCCCTTCAGACGCCCACCATGTCCTCTCCAGCATCAAGTCCCTGCAGCGCCACGGCCTCTCCCATTGGCCGACCGCCCTCCTATCACAATGGACATCACAGGCCGCCGCCGGCTCCACACAAAAGCCCCTTTCACAGTAAGATCCACCGGCTTGTCTGCACTGAAGTAGCCGTAGTGGAGTAGAGGTAGTGATTGTGTGATTGTGATCTGTGTCCACTGCCCCCCCTTCAGATCCGGCACAAGGTTCCCCTCAACCTCCCAAATACCCAGAGACTGGCTCCGGCACCATCCGACCTGTGAGTAAAAACACATCAGATGAGTTCAAATTTGAGATTACAGGTGATTAGTAAAGTCAGGAGGATTAATCAGCATGAATATCTGTAAAATATATCCAAATGTGAATTCAGTTTGAATCAAAGTGTTGAATTTTGAACTTAATTTAATCAACTGGTGGATGTTTTTAGGTCCGCGCTGCTCCTCCGCCCCCGAAGCAGCATCCTCGTGGGCAGGTGAAGCGGAGGGAGGAGGTGGAGATCACGCTGGTGTGAAGGCTTCACCCTGGTCCAAACCAGCTAAACTAAACTAAACTAAACGCACTCCCAAAGGAAACTCGAGGAAACTTAAAGTCCCTGAAGATGCCTGGAGGCCGGAGAGGCCAACACTCAGAGCTCGTAGGGTCAGTGTGCTGTGGAGGAATATTGTGCCTTTCTCGTTTCATCTCCTGATTTCTCTCACTGCCTTTCCTGAACTTTGTCTCCTATTAGACTGATAAAAATGACCTTGTTCATATTGTCTCGCTCCTCTACCTGGACATGAATCATTTAAGTCCCGAAAACAAGACTGAACATTCACAGGATATGCCTTCGCCCATCATAGTTGATAAAATTATAACTGTACTATGATATCCATGTGCAGAAAAATCAGTCTAACCTGATAGAAGAGGTGAACTCACATTATTAAGCTATTATTTAGACACAGTCATTTTGTATTTGGGGAATTATGCTCATTTATTTTCTTGGAGAGTTAAATGAGAAGGTTAAGAAAACCTTAACATTCAAGATGTAATCAGCTTAGCTTAGCATAAAGACTGAAAACCAGGAGAAACAACCTGCTTGGCTCTGTCAGAATATAAAGGAAACACCTCTAAGCTGGAGGAATAAAACATTATTTCGTTTGTTTAACGTCTCAGTCAGACAGTGAATCATTTTATTTTCTGTTGATGTGTAGTTTTATACAGTTGCTTTTAGACAGGAGTCAGTGGTACAAATATATATTTTAAATGATTGTGTGTTTAATTTATTGTCCTATCAGAAGTCCAGCTAACCCAGAGAGCTTTTTACCCTCCTCAGTGACACTTTCTCAAGGTACATTTTGTAAAATTTTTACATTTTAAGAGCAATGTCAAGCTTCGTGTCTGGCAGCCTGAGATCTGCACTCTTTGTGTCAGTGGTTCCTCTTGTAAATGTGACCTCTTGAGTGCATCAGTTTACAGCAACTAGACATTTCAAACATCACACAGCCTGAACTGAAGCACCTGCACAAGTATCCACTCCATGTAGGAAACAGTGAATGCAAATTTTAACACACATTTGCAGTGAAAAGACCTAAATTCAGTATGAAGAACCAGATTTTTCTGTGTATAGGATCAAAACTGGGATTAATGAAAGGAACACTAGTGCACATGTAAACACATTAATGAACTTTAGAGGCGCCTGTAGGTGTATTATGACTTTTGACAGAGCTATGGTAGCTGTTGAAGCTGATCTTCATGTTTAACTCTCTGCAGGAAAACAAATAAATCTCTTTCCCAAAATGTTAAATTTTTCCTTTAACCGACCATAACACCTCAAACATCAGAACAGCTGCGTTGATTCATCCTGTTGTAGATCTCATAGTTACAGCACATGTTTTTCGCAGTTCATGCCTGATTTAAAAAACAAATTATTAGTAATATTCTAAATAATATTTCACCCGTATCCTCCTGCCCCACCAGTTGTGTCTCGCTGTATTGCTGCGTGGCTCTCTCTCTGTTTTTTGGGTGCTCGGATTACTTCTATGCAACAGAGCTACTCTCGGCAGCATCTTGTGAGACTCCGACACAAAAAAAAAAATCAAAAGTCTGGTTATCTCCACGCTCGATCAAAACGCCAGCGCGGCCGAGGCTGGTCCTCTCCGCCGACACTCGTGACCTCACACGGTTACACAAACAAGGGAAAAGTGGCAATTTTTAGTTGTGATTGTTTTGTCAGTAGAAACGATCAAAGTAATGGATCCCTTATGATTCTTTTTCTTTTCTTTTTTTTGTTAAACCCTTCTTCTAGTGTTAGTTTTCTTTGCACCAAACACAAGGATAAAGTTTAAGGGGGAAACGTAGTGCGTACACACATAGTCTAACGTTTTGTTGTTGTAAAGTAAAGATTTAGAGATGTTATTATGACACTAATGAAGCCAGTATTGGTTACTGGTGAGAGCGTCGGTTCGTCGAGGTTGCAGTTGGTGACAGTTTACACTGAGGTCATGTGCAGTTTAAACACGCCTTTATATTTAAGGAGGAAACCATCCTGAGCTGCTAGCTGTCCAATTTAAAATCTATACTGTCATAGTGAAGCACTTTTCGATGTCTTCTTATTCCTTTTCAGTATTGTGGATGCTACGTTATTTGTTCAATATTTCTTGTTTGACGTTTGTTACCAGCTGTATTGGTATGAATACTTTCCTTTTATCGGCTCTTGCGTTATTTAGCCTTAAATAGCCATTGTAGTGTCTTTGATTGAGATTGAGATATGACTCTTTGATCGTATTGTTTTTGAAATATCAATAGTTTACAGAGAGCTTGGAGATGGATATCTGTACAAATAATAGCACAGCTTTTTCTTTGTTTTCTTATTTTGTGTTTTCTGTTTGTTTGTTTGTTTTTTTAGAATTAGGATATAAAATACCTATTAAACCATAGTTGAATTTGATCAGAGGAAAAGAGATATCTGTCAGCCATGTTGCTGTGTTCTCGTTGATCTCCTTGAGATCTGAATGACATCAAACTTATTTTTAAAGTTTGCATTTACCCTGTTGTATTAAAAAAAAATAAAAGAAGATAGTCGTCAGACTGAAGTCTCTTTTCCATTAGAGAAGTTGTTGTTAACTTGCTACTGGTCCTGATTCCGCATAAATCTGAAATTCAGTGACAAAATGCCCACGTTTTATAACGTCAGCTCCGCAGAGGCTGCAGAGTGTCGTATTTACACACCAGTGGATGTTTAACTGTATTTATTGTGTACAAATAAATGTGAAATAAAGATAGCTTAAATGAAAAACAAGACTCAGCTTTCATCGTGTCAACTTTCTCTGCTTGTTTTTGTTTTTGGTAAGTTCTGTTGTGTTCATGCAGTTGCTTCAAAGTGTTTTATGTATTTTATTTTCAAACCTTATATCTGTATATAACTGAAAAAAACAGTATCTCAGGATGTGTCTGCTCAGTTCCATCAGGTGAAGAGTTTCACCCCGGAACTAAATTTTCCGTAAAATTTGTTGCAACTTTGAATTTAAAGATTTGTCTGTTTCTTCCAGATCACTGAAAGTTTGCGACATTTTGTATTTTGCTGTTATTGTTAAATATATGATTAGAATTTTCCATCCATTATCTATACACCGCTTAATCCTCATTAGGGTCACAGGGGGGCTGGAGCCTATCCCAGCCGACTTTAGGGCAAAGGCAGGGGACACCCTGGACAGGTTGCCAGTCCATCGCAGGGCCACAGTTAGAGACAGACAACCAAGCACACTCACATTCACACCTACGGACAATTTAGAATCACCAATTAACCTCAACATGTTTTTGGACTGTGTGGGAGGAAGCCGGAGAACCCAGAGAGAATCCACGCTGCACAGGGAGAACATGCAAACTCCACGCAGAAAGATTCCAGTGCCCCCACCGGGACGCAAACCGGCAACTTTGTTGCTGCGAGGCAACAGTGCTACCAACTGCACCACCTTGCAGCCAATGATTATAATTATTATTTATTATTTTGTATACCAGGATTTACAGAGCGAGTGCGTTGATGGACACATCTGAGAGATTTACAGATCTAGTACTCCACTCGATCATTCTGATATTTGTTCTCATGCACGATTAAAAAATCTTTATTTTGCTCCCAGTCTGTTTTAGTCAAATTCAGACTTTTAAGGATCACTTTTAAGGCTTGTAGCGGGTTCATTTTGCTGACCTCCTGAATATCCTCGATGCAACCAAGGTGCATCTTGTTGGTAATTTGTAGAGAAAATCTAAATCTAAAGGTGACAGGGCTTTTTCTGTTCGGGTTCTTGGCAGTGTAACAACCTGCCAGGAAAAGAAACCTAAATCAGTACCAAACTCACTATTTTAGACTTTATTTTCATTCATTTTGATGTAAGATTCACTCTTTATTGTTTATTATAGTTTTTTACTCGCTGAGTTCTTTTTTCGGGCTTTTTAAATGCGTTTTCAATATTTCTACATAAACAGAGATATTACAATTTGAATTCTGTATAAAAAGCATAAAATAATACAGAAAATGTCAGGTTTTTAATCAACAGTTGTTCTAAAGCACTTAATGAATCTGAAATTGTTGTTTGCATGTTGTCAGGGCATCCTCCCAGTGTCCATGTCAATGTTACCTGCACATATAGTTCATTCTGCATCTGCCTAGCTGATAAATGTTCAGTTTGTTTGCATTAGAGCTGCAGGATTTGCATTAAAACTATTAGCAGCAGCAGGTCTGTGCAGCCTTGTCCCTGATGCCAGACAGAAATAAGCACATTTGTCAGCAGTGGAACATTTTAACTGTCTGCAACTCCTTGTGCAAGTTGTACATCAAATCCACAGTTTCATATTAAATACAACAAGTTTTAAATCATAAACACACCTAATACATTGTGCACATATTAAAAATGACATGGATTCAGTGTAATAATACAAAAAAAATGGCGTCGGCTGGTAGCTGTCATACCGCAGCTGCATGAAGATCAATTAAGGTGATTATTAAAATGAACCAATCACCGATCGTCCTGAGGACAGTGAACGCACCACAGTGAAACTTAACTGATCATTACCGCCGCGACTCGTTTGTTTACACTTTTTAACCGCAACACGCCGTCAATTTACAAATATTTACTGTTTCACTCCTGTCCGAACCTTTAAAGTAAATCATATTATCCATTACGATCGATATTAAAATACCCGAAGAAAACTCAGCATCTCTGTAAGAACGATTTGTTTATAAAATTGAGTAATTTTCAAGTGAAAAGTGAGTTTTATCGAATGTTTCCTGTCGTGTTTTACTCAGACTTAATTTGTTTGTTTGCTCCAATAAACACAAAAAATGCATCCAGTCACACAATAATAACGGAACAAACGTGACTGTTTCAGTCAGTTATTATAAAACGGTGTTTTTGGTCCAACAAAGGCACATTTAGCTGTTTTATTTTGAAGGGGGAGCCGCAGTACATCCGGGTCACTGTGCCGCGGTGCATTGTGGGACATTTGCCTCTTTTTCACTCCGAAGAGTTTCATCGAGTCAAACAGAAAAAGCAAGAAAAAAAAACAACAACTACAAATCACTAAATATTACTGGCTGAACACTTTATACTTTATTACTTTTCCCCACAATTTAACTAAGCTTTGAGATCGTTATTTTTTTGTTAAATTATCTTTTTTGTGTGTGAATAATCTCATTGTGGCTCATCATTAAATCAACATCCACAAGTTTAGCAGGAAGGAAACCTTAGTTTTATTGTTTTTTCAGTGACTGTTGTAGTAAAGTAAAAAAAAGATGGAAATATAGCCAAAAAAGGAATAAAATATAGTTGTTGTGTCATTATCTATCAGTAAAATGTATACATTTTATTTACCCATTTAATGTATTATTTTTTTATTATTATTACCTTACAGTTAAACTGGAAATAAAAGAAAATTTTGTTTAAAACAAAACAATTTTCAATGTACCTTTTGTGCATAACTGCAACATCAAATTGTTGCAGTCAAACAAGCATTTAAAGTAATAACAGGAATAAAAAAAAACCACTTAATTACAAATAAAGTCTTACATTCTCACTGAGTGTCCTCAAAGACACTTGCAGTGCAGCTGAAAGGCAGTTGTCAGTGTGATATATTATTTTACTATCAGTACTGATAAATAAAAATGTAAAAACCCTCTTTATTGATAGAGTTGGTTAATATAGAACTTGTTTTAACCTCTTTCCAAGCTCCTGACTGGTTTAATCAATACAGACACATCATGTTTTATGTCTTAAGCAAATATTTTGGATGTGCTAGAATAAAATGAAGTGTGAAACAAAGAGAAAAGTAAAATTATTTCTCACTGAAATTTAGCTGAAAATATAATAAGAATCTCACATTTGTACATGTAATATATACTGTACACCACTGTGTGATAATAATTGTGTGAAACAAGAAAAAAATGATGTGCATAAATAAACTACAATATAATGTGTGATTAATTCAGAATTTTATCTGATAAATGCCATGTAAAGGGAAACCTATGTAATCAAAGCTCGTTTTTCTGACTTTAAACAGAAGATTTACAGCTAAAATGTAAAGAAATGTTTAGTATAGGTTTTGATATGTAACAGTTTTAATTATTAATAAAATATTCATTTTTGAAATGCATCAGCAAATAATGTTATTACCTCACATTTATATATGCAGTACTACTGCATAATAATATGCAGTATAATATAAAAAATATAAATCATTAATCTAGTATTGAATATAAATTTGCCAGAAATGCTCATAATTAACCAGTTATTGTATAAAATCTGGTCTAAATTGTCATTATTAAAGTTGTCTGTACTTTTATTCATTTAATGATATGTTTTTTTTTCTGTCATTCTATACTTTACATTTTGTTTTTTTCCTGCTGTTTTAATCAATCGGTTTAATTATTGTATTATATTTGTGTGCACTTTATTCAACGGGTCTGTACAATTTGTTGCATTTATTTAATTAATTGAATTTTACTCTGCTAAATAAACTCTATGTGATAAGGTACTTCTATAAATAAGCTTACTTCCTCTTTTATATACAATTAAAGTGTACATTTTATTTCATCAATCTGAACCAACGTATTTCAATCAAATTTGTCGGTCTTGACACAGATGGAATGCAGATAAAATGTAAATATTAAGGTAACTAAAATAGAAATCGATTAGTAGTCTGATAAATCTTCTTTTCGAGGTGTAAAATCCTTTGAAGGCTGAGCTCAGTGAGTGTTTTATTTTGTTAACACCGGAGGTCGCGTATGTAACCGCGGCAAGCTTGACACTGCTGTGGAAAAGATGGCTGCTTCGGCGGCAACGGCGAGTTCTTCCCCCGGTTTGTGTCCAAATTACGCCGTGATTTGCTCCTTCTTGGAGCGGTACGGAGCGCTGTTGGACTTACCGGAGCTCACTTTTCCTCAGCTGGAGAGATATCTGCAGGACACCTCCTCAGGTAGGGCAGAAAAACACGCAGCTGCTGACGGGGAGGAGGAGAGACTTCACCGCTGCATTAATGAGAATGGTACCGTGCTAGCACGCTAGCAGCTAATGTTAGCTAGTCGTGTGTTATTGTGTGGTTTTTAACCTCCGTGTTTACTTAAATATTAGTTAACTGTGTCTCGGAGCTGCCGTTCGAAGTGGAAAATGTCTCTGCGCACGTTTAAGTGATTATTCAGGCTCAAACCAGCCGAAACGTTCGAGGTTTTCTGTCACTTTTTAGCTTTTGAATTGGGCTTAATTTTTTTCCAAGCAGCCTTTATCTGCCGCTGTAAAACAACAGACACAAACGTGCGGCGCGTTCAGTGTTTGTGTGGCCACCAGCGTGGTGAGACTTCACGCAACGCGCCGTGGATTTGGATAATTTGTTGGTAAAGATGTCAACGTGTGGAACGGACACGCAATTGTGCACTTTATTTACAGTTAAAATATTTTGCCATGTAGTGGTTCGCTCAGCTTCTGTCAAGTCACCTGCAACAGCGACGACGCACGGCATAAACCTTCAGAATAAAACATATTTTAGCACTACAAACACAATTCAGCTACAGATTACTACACATTTGTAGCATCATTTCAAATTCAACAATTACTGAATGCACACTTATATTGTTTCTTCTCATTAAATCCTACCCAAACCTCTTGAATTCATCTTTTTGTACGTGCGTATAAATGTTAACTTGTTGTACATCCGCCTGTGCAGCTTATTGTGGTTGACTTGACGGTTTTTTTTCTCCAGTTGCGTTGATTTGCGCATGCGCCCGAGCTGTTCCTGATTGAGTGTGTATTAATTGTCACCCCACATTAACATGTGTTGTCACCTCATGTGTTTCAGGTTATTCATTTAAGTTTATCGACCCTACAGACAGTCTAATTTCACAGACCATGTTGGAGAAATGCTACTTTTTTCCAAATTTTGAGACGAGTATTATATCTGAAATGTTTTGAATATCATGGGACATAATATCAGACCTCTGTTGATTTATAGGAATATACCAATAACAAGTGTATACATTTTTAAAAGAAGCATTCCGGTGTATGCTTGGCAGACAGTGAAGAGCACAGTAAATGCAGACATATGTAAACAATAAATGTGATTAGCATACTGCTGTAAAACACAAAATTAAAGCTTTTTACCACAGTCTACATCAGATAAGATTTGATCAGATGTACTTTACTGACCCACAATGGAAATTTACCTTGAGCGGTGGTGCACATTTTACAACTCTGTTCACACAGCGCAACAATAAACCAAAAAATTACACATACGTCCTCGCATATGTACAAATGTACATATTTTTTTGCGAAGTAAGAGCACCTTATTGCACCTTGCGTAAAACAGATACATAATGTCAATGGAGCAAAAATGACAACAACAACAACAAAAAACAGGGATCCACTTCAAGATTTAAGACTGAGCTGCTGTTTGTTTAGATGTGTGATTAAATTAGGAATTGAAGACGACTTATGTTTGAGGGCTCTTACCTGAAGTTATTGTTTGGTAGCTGGAAAAATGAGTCGGCACCCCAAACTCTTTCCACACTCTCTTTTAGCTCCTGCAACTGTATTTTATGCTGTCAACAATATTTTCTGCAGACACAGATGCGTATTTAATTGGGATTTGTCTCTAATAGATATTGCAATTTGATTTGTGATATAATATTTGAAAGTTAAGCGTCTTTTCAGCATTCACTGTGACAGATTTCAAATATGTGATGGAGCATTAACGCACAAGACACAATCAAAAGCGTGACTGTCACACGAGGACGGCGCAAATTGCAGCCTTTGCTGTTTGCTGATTGTATTCATTTAAATTGAAGTGCAGTTTTTGTTTGTAGTATTTTGTTGGACTTTTCTTGTCCTTGTCACCTCACGCACACTTAATGGTTAGTGTTTATGTTGTCATATTCAATATGTTGCACTTTAATATTTTATATTTAATCCAAGCTTTATTTTTCATGTTAAATATTAATATTGTAGTTAAGTGTTTAATTTTTAAGTCATTTAAAGTTACCTTTTTATGCCTCTCCTTTTGAAATCACTAGTTTTTCATGTCTTGTAAGAACGTCCTTTTTATTCTTTTTTTCCCACAACAAAAAAAAAAACTTTTCTGTCTATTTAACTTCAACGAGAATTGAATCCAGAGTTTTTCCTGGCTCAGAATCACTTACTGTAGTGATTCTGAGCCAGTAAGCATGATCAGTCCACACACAGTAAAGGCGATGAGACTGTGTTACTGTAGTTGACAGAAATCTATGCATTTTTTTCTGTTTTTCTGACCATTTGATAAGCAAAAATATCTATTATTCTCAAGTAACTGAAACCCCAGTTAACCAAACGGTTTACAAAAAGTCCTCTATGCAGGAAAAACCCTGGTGTCTAAATGTTGTCATGTGAATCGTTTGTTTTCAGGATGTTTATTTTGGTGTTTTACAACAACAAAATCACACCTTTCTCATCTATTACAGTTCTCACAGAGTGACCGATTTCGGTCAAAGTGATTTCTAAGTAATTATTTGGAACTTTCAGCCTGGTTGGTGGTTGTTGTTGTTGTACTCTAGACTAAAGCAGGGTTTTTCCTTCATTGAGGGATATTTAGTGCAGCTCAAACAGGTTTTAGTCGCCCCAAAGGAAAATCACCAGCACCAAATGGATAAATGTTGAGAATATAAATAGCTGTTCAATTTTTAACCTGTTTTGATAGTTGGGGCTTCATTTACTTGAACATAAGAGACATTTTGGTTTATCAATTGGTCAGAAATGTCAAATAAAGTAATCCAGACTCATTGGACCGACAGTGATTATTGTCGAATGTCGTCACCCCCCTCGGTCTATTCTGAGCCTGGAAAAACCTGGTTTATTTTATCTGATAAGAGAGTCCTTTTTTGTACATATTTTTTTTGTCTGTTGTCAAAAAGAAAGAAGCATTTTTCTTCTTCCAGAATTTTATCTGTATGTAGCTGTGCCAATTGTTTGTTTTTGTGATGATTATTTTTAGTGTATCCAAAGAACAGAATCTAAATTTTCTCAGGTATTGAAGTTCTCCCACAGTGACTGATTTAGATGAAATTATCAATTACATTACGCACAGAAGATAAAGATCTCTGAAGCGTCACGTTTACACAAGTGAATATTTTTATTTTTCAGTGGTGTAACGGGGACCAGTATGTTTATATGCACACTTTCATTGTTTTTTGTGTTGTCTTGTTTGAGTATTTCAAAATATATACATCATATCCCAGTTTTTTGTCTCAGTATCTCCTGTGTGAACTCAAAGTTATGTACTTTATACCCCTGCACATACACATTTCAGTATAAAGAAAAACAACAAAATTACCCTGCTATCCAGTAGCATGTTGTGTATTTAAAATGATCCTCACAGTCTCCCAGATGTCTTCTCTCTGTTTGCAATAATAATGTGTTCACAGGGAAGGAAATACATTCACTTAAATCTAATATTTCCACCAACTACTCTGGTCTGTTTTGCTAAGGTCAGTCTGAAAAAATTAGATTGAGACTTTGGTTTTCCCCACATGAAAAGATTTTTATTGTTCCCAGCAGCTGGGAGTTGCATCTTGGATCAAGAGGACAAATTTGTGAATACAAACATCTGTGAAGCAACAGGTTTAAAACAAGTAAAGTCAAAGCTGACGTCACCAGTGAGAAGAAATTTGTCAGAAAAGTGAGAAAATGTGAAAGTGGAGAATGAGTTCATCGTCCATCACCGCTACTGAACATCAAATCTCAATAGAAATGATAAGAGTCATCAGCTAGTTTGCTTCATGACCGCGTTAGCGTAACAGTTTCAGGAACCTACATTTATGTCCAGAAATAAGTTACTACAGGCTGCAAAATTCAAGTGAGCTCACTGATTTATAAATCGAAAATCATAAAATAGCAAGACGGTTTTTGCAGTTTTGTGTTTGTCCATGTTTGTAGATGCTCTGGTAGGCAAACAAAGCCTTTGAAAATGTTACACAGCAGCAAAATGTGGAGTATTTCTGAGCTCGGGTCAAAGTCGTGATAACTGCAACCTCAAACATTGTAGAGCTGCAACAATTAGTCGGAAGTTTGACAGCTAAATAATAACCTGGGTCACTTTTAAAGCCATAATGCTTTTCTTTGTCACATGTGATACTGAACTGACTGTTTTTGGATTTTGGACTGTTGGTCAAACAGACAAGACGGTCCGAGATGTATGTGGGAAAATGTTGCCAGTATTTTCACAATTTTTGTGACATTTTGTAGAGAAAACGATCAATTCTTTTTTCCAAACGAAATAAATTTATCACTAACTGCTGATGCTGATGTCGGTCATGTTTTTTTTGCTGTACATTTCTGTTAAACTCTGTTCGACAGACGCCAGGTGACGTCTAAAATGAGATTTGGACAGTAACCAGTTTGTTTTTGTCTCCTCAGTTCCAAAGCTGCTGGTTGATCTTCACGTCAAGTTGCTGAGGAAAATTGGCAAGTCGGTGTCAGCAGACAGATGGGAGAAGTATCTAGTCAAGGTAAATGGGTATAATTTTTATGTTTATACGCAAGTGTGTTTATATAAGCAGTACAATGATACTTGTCTTTTTAAATTTATTTCCATTAAAACTGTTGAATCAGTTATTTTTGGCAACATTTAGGACCAAAAACAACCTAGTTCAAATGTTGTACTGGTTTTAAAGTGGCTTTCATTTATTTTGGGAAGACGACACAAGCTTAAAACACCCATTTTCAATATTCTCACTTTAAAACTTGTTTTGAAGACTTTTTCTTGCACTGAAACTGCGCACAGTCTCTCCACATTAAGACTGTTTGCCTTGCAGGTGTGCCAAGAGTTCAACACGACTTGGGCATGGGAACTCGAACAAAATGGATACAAGGAGTTGACAGTGGAGTGCAAGACCGGGATACTTAAAGTGAGTAGCTGGTTTTTAATGCTGCTGTCAGAACGACAGTCTGATTTTGTCTGCCTTCTTAACCAAAGATTGAACACTTATTGGAGCCAACGTTCAGCATTTTTCTATTAGCAGATTATTGATAAAATAAATTACATGCACATCTTTGGCTCTGATGCAGCCGCCTCTCCCCGTAGTGACTTTGTGGTCTCAGGCAATGTCTGACTGGTTACACGTTACCAGTAACAGACAATCAACACTAAAAGCTGCTGTTTACAGACAGGGACAGATAAGCACATAAACAGACTGAAGCAGCTCCTGTGAATTAGCGGTGTGAGGCAGAAGATATTACTGAAGTTGCAACAAACACTGCAATCTTCCACCAACACGCCCTGTTTCCCCGTTACTAAAAATGCCAGGATAATTCACTAGTTGGAGTCAGTGCAACTGTTTTGCTGACAGGGCTACAGGTTTGCTGCCTGGAGCGCCATAGCATCATGCTAAAGAAAGATGAAGCTTAGAAATCTGCTCTAACTGCTAGACATGTCTCTCTAGCAGAGGCACAACCTGCAAAGATCACAAATTAGGACATTAGCTACTTTCAGATTGACTAAGGCTACGCTAACGGCTAGAAGCTGAGCTAGGCGGCAGGTTGATCCCCTTCTCTTAATTGTTGTCTTTTTTCAATGTTGGCTTCAAACAAAAAATTTTAAATGGAGTTTAGAAGAAGCAGCGCTGGTGTTACAGTAGACAAAAACATGCTGACATGTTTTATCAGGTGTAACTAATAACATTAATGCTGCCTGAATTAAATTTGCTTTACTATTAAGTACACTATGCATCCTGTCATATGTGATGTGTGTACAATAAAATTCCCTCAAATCCCACAATGGAGCAAAAAAAATACAGTAACCAGTTTTTTTCAGGTGCTTGTCAGGTACATTGATTAGCATCTTGGAGTTCTTGCCACAGTTTTTCTGTTGATTTAATCTCAGTGTGTCTTCACGTGATCCACAATGACACCATCATGTTGAGATCACAGCTCTGATGGGTCCAGACTATCTGTTGCAGGACTTTCTTGTCACTGAACATGTTTCTCTGTGACTCATTGTCCGGCCTACAACTGAACACAGACAAAACTGACATAACTACTTTTGGCACCAGAGAAGAAAGAATAAAAGCCAGTGCTGACATTGAAAATTTCCTGTGAAATCTATAAAGAAATATACAAAATCTAGCATCAGCTTCAAAAACAGAGCAACGTTTAAAGGATTTCTATTTCAAGATGAAGGAAAACTTTTGAATTTCTGCAAAATGGGCTGCACTCTACTAATCCTGTGTGCCAAATGACAGATTTTACAATCCCACTGCTCGTCTATAAAGCTTTCAATGGTCTAAATAAATCTCTGATTTCCTTGTAAGATATAAATCAGTCATCTGGGCCCAAACAAGGTGAAGCACCATTTAGTGTTGCTCCCTGAGTACTTGAGATCCTCTAAAACGGCCAGTTTAAAATATTCTAATTGATTAAATGTGCAACTTATTTTCAATATTTTAATTTTTTTTTTTGCTTGTTTTGTCTGTTTTTATGCTCTATTTCTGTTGAATGGCCTCCTGTCTGAATGCTGCTGTATAAATGATTCTTCTTTTCGCATTAATAAACATTTTGTGTCTTTTTTTCTTCCTCCAGTATTTGTGCGAGTGTCAGTTTGATGAAAACGTAAAGTTCAAAACTGCCATCAACGATGAGGACCCAGATAAAATGCGTCTGCAGCCGATCGGGCGCGACAAAGACGGACAGATGTATTGGTTTCAACTGGACCAAGACAACAACGTTCGGGTTTACACTGAGGAGCAGGACGACTTGGACGGGTCATCATGGAAGTGCATCGTCAAGTAAGTTGTCGGAAGAGAGATGCTGTGAGATGAAATTTAAATGCTAATGCTCTCATTGGAATTAGGTACGCTGTGTTATTCATTCTGAAAAGGCAGCGGTCGTGTTTTCCTCCCTCCCCGTAGAGACAGAAACGACTTGGCTGAGGTTGTTGCTCTGCTGAAGACACAAATCGACCCCGAGCTGTTGAAAAAGAAAGACCAAGAACAGGAAAACAAACCCGATGGTGAGGAGGACAAAGAAAAAGGAGAAGGTTAAACTTTTGCCTTGCTTCTTTACAGATTGATATTAATGTAAAACTTCTTTTGTGTTTACATTTAAGTATTTTATTTGTTTATATTGTAAGTTGGTACTTTTATTTTTAAGCAACTCTGTGGAGTTATATCTAAGGCAATTTGAGGCAGGAAAGGATTGTTTTCTTGGAAGAAAACTTTTATAAACAGATGAGTTTTTAGGAGTTAAATCAGCAACCAGAGAGAGAGTTCACCATATTGCCCAACCTTATATCATCTTTATGTTGCAGGTGATGCTAAAAAGGCAGACGACACATCAGACGAAGACAGCAAGGACTCTAGCAAGGCCGTCTCCCCAAAGACAGAGAACAATGAAAAAGTAACACAGAATGATAACCTAAAGTCAGAAGTCTCTGAGACAAAATCTTCACTGAATGGCATCATCGAAGGCAAAACTGAGGCAGAACTCCACTCAGAAGACATCAGTAAAAAAGCCCTGAACATCAAAGAGGAGCCGATGGAGGTGACGGACACTAAATCAAGCACAAGTGAACCAACACCGGCTTCTGAGGCGTCGAGTTTATCAGTAAAGGCAGAGAAAGGAGAGGAGGCAAAGAAGAATACCGCAGAGGAGATCCAACAGGCCATGAAGAACGACCAGCAGGCCAAAATCCCTCTTAAGAAAAGGGGAATGAAGTTTAGTGAAGACTTTGAGAAAAATAGCTCCATCATAGTGCAAAATCCAGCAGTTTCTAATCTCAAGGAGGCTCCTAAAGCTGAGTTGACTCCTGAACAGACAAAGAAAGTTCAGACGGTAAATGATCATGTTAATGGTGAAGTTCAGCCTTCGTCCGAGTCACTAAAAGACGCCGTCGTCGACAAAGAGCCAACGACTGAAGCAGCTATAGGTAAAACTGTAGACGCCACAGAAAACGAGGCTCCGGCTACAGAAAAAGACGACCGGAAAGACAAAAAGGATGAGGCCTGCAGTGCAGAAAAGGACAGCGAGAAAGTCGCATTACAACAAGTGGACGTGGAGAAGACGCCTCAAGATGTGCTGGCAGAAAAAGAAACAGAAAAGAGGGAAGCACACAAGTCTCCACCGCCACCGACAGACCCGCCACTGACACCACCGCCACCTTTACCTAAAGACATAAATAATGCACTAGAGAAATCCTCTAATCACGAAGATCATGAGAAAGTCAAAGAATCCAAACCAGCAGACACAAAGGAATCTTGTACAGCGAACAACACGTTAAAGGAAGGTGATAAAACATTAACAGCTGATGAGTCAGAGAGCCTAAATTTAAATCATGAAGTCAGACCCAAAGAAGCGGAGTCAAAAGATTCAGAAAAGTCAGAGGAAAAGACAGACTGTGTGGACATGGACACATCTGAGGCAAGCCAGACTAAAAAAGCAAAGACAGCAGAAGATGTAACAGAAAAAGAAACGAGTGACGCTAAAGAAACGGGGGCATCTGAGGCAAATGTTGAGAAATCAGAAGAGTCTGCGTTAAAAGAGAAACAAGAAGACATTAAAACAACAGAGAAACAATCTGCAGACAAAGATCCTGCAGAGAAATCTGCAGGATCTTTGTCTGCGTTAAAAGAGAAACAAGAAGACATTAAAACAACAGAGAAACAGTCTGCAGACAAAGATCCTGCAGAGAAATCTGCTGACTCTGAAAATACCGTATCAACATCTGTCATTAAAAAAACAAACAAACCAATAATCAGTGAGAAATCAGAAGAAACAGCCAAAACTAAGGCGCGTGTGGAGCCTCCTGTTATTGAAAAGACTGACAAATCCAAAACATGTAAACTTGCAGAGAAGCAGGACAGCATCAAAGATGCAGTGGTGACTCCGGAGAAAGCCAGTGAAGCATGCGAGACAAAGACGGAAAAGCCAGAAGACGTAAAGGAAGCTGTCAACTGCGAAGACAGCACGATACACGATGTCACCAAGATAAGCGACTCTGAGTCTGGGCCTGTGGCAGCAGAGACATCAGGCGTTAAACACGATCAGACAAAGCCACAAGAGGATGATAAAACTGAGACAAAGTCTGTTGCACAGAAGACGATGGAGGAACCATCTGAAGGGAGCAATAAACCAAGCAGCCCTGTTGAGAAGACAAATGTCTCTGAAGAAACTGATAAAGAACTTGAAAGACTCGAGATAGAGCAAAAGAAAGCGTCTGAGGAAGAGCCTAAAAAAACAGAGGCAAAGCATCCATTGTTAGAAAGTAAAAAGGTTGCTGACAAGGAAAGTGAAAAGGACACGGACAATGAAAAGCTTTCAAACGACAAAGGAAATAAAAGGGATTCCACAACAGATAAACTCTCAGAAATTGAAAAAACAGAGGAGGAGAAACAAGCTCAGACAGAGAGTAAAACCTCGACCACAATGGAAGAATCTGGAGACCAAAACATGAGCAAAGATGCTGGGTCCTCAACAGAAACCGAAAACCCCCCTGGCAAAGATCCAGCCACAGATACACCCACAGACAAGGACAGTAAAGAGAACAGCAAGGAGGGGGACTCTGCGAAAACAAAAAAAGAGGTAGCGAACGGTGGAGAAGCTCACGTCGATAATAAGGAGGAAGTTACCCGTCGGAGAAGCAAACCTCCAGCTCATCGACGGAAAGTTGAGCTCCAGAGAGAAGAGCGACAAGGAGACTCTGAGTCCGATACGAACACGGGGAGGTCTCTTCGAAGGTCACCGAGGATCTCAAGACCCACACCAAAGGCAGTAGAGATCCAGGACAAGAAGATGGAGAAGCTGCAGGCCGCTCCTCCGTCTCAGAAGCAGGACGACAACAACGACAAGGGTGAGAAAGTAAAAGATGAAGAGGAGGAGGAAGAAGAGGAGGAGGTGGTGAAGACTGTTCAGAAAAAGCCAAGAGAGAAAAAGACAGATCAGGAGGGTCAGACAAAGCCCAAGGTAAGACCGATTACCTGCTTAGATGTTTCTTCAGTGCCAGATCGTGCAGCCGTGTTTTAGCTTTTCTCACGTTTGTCTTGTTTTCAGGGGAGAAAAAGGCGGAAGATTCGGTGGTCCAACACGCGAACGCGCCGCAAAAAGAAAGATTCCGAGGATGAGGATGACAACAGTGACGAGGAGTCCAGCGATGACGAGGAGAGCGAGGAGGAGGACGACAGCGACGAAGACTACAAGGTCGAGCGGAGCAGGAAGAGGCGGAACCGGAACCAAGAGAGACGAAGCTCGGACTCCTCGACATCTACGGACGACGATCTACCTCCAAATGACGACCCCTGCAAACACTGCGGTCTTCCAAATCACCCAGAGCTGGTGGGTCTCACAACCGAACCAACCTGCGTTTAGACTTGAATGAATTAACAATTAACTTTCATAGCTTTTCACAAAAGCAGAAGAGACTGATTTCTCTACAGTATGAAGAAAGAGATTTAAAAAAAAAAATTTAAAAAAAAGACATAAGACAACATTCACAGCAAGGAAAAATAGATGTATTATTCAAGTCTTGTTAAGTTTTTAAAGTCATGAACTGATTTGGCTTCGCTGAAGCTCTGCTGGAGGCTGTTTTTGAGTTTTGGACTGGATTTTGGAGTCCTGAGGCTCCTCCTAGTGGTTAAATGGCTCAACAACTCCAGCTAGATAAGTAACGTCTTGTAAATCAAGAGAAAACTTTAAAACTAAAGGAAGCTAAACTAAACATAATGCGTGACAAAGTTTTCATAGCTTTGTTGCAGAGTTAAAGTGAACAAAGCTGCTGAGTTGTCAGTTTCCAAATCATTAGGCAGAAAGAAAGGTCAGACTTTTGCTTTGGAAAAACAGGACTGAACCAGTGATTTCACTTGGAATCCAAAGTAGATTTTGTTTTACACAGAGTGACACTTTTGGCGAGCAGGAAGGAGCTATTTTGGGCTCCACTAATTTTGCTTTAAAAAAAAAAAGTGAAAGTCTGGTTCATTTTCTCCATAAATAAAATTAGGTGACTCACCGTTGGAGGACGTCCACGGCTTGGATGGACATGAAAATCCCCTAAATGAAGTAACGAGAGAAAAGATAAATAGCTGTGTGAGGAAACATCTGACTCTTTGATGAAGAGTACAAGCTTGTGTACAAAAAAACTTTGAGGTGGGACTCTCAGGGTGCATTTCAGTAGAAAAATACCCAAACATGGAGCTTAAAACTCTGAGAGACTGAGACTTAGAGGCTGAAGTCAACTAAAGAAAATCTTGGTGGACTAAAATGGTAGCTACTAACCAATCTGTTTGAGTGCAGGGGAAAAAACCTGCCTGTTACTGCTAGATCAAGTAAATCAGCTAAACCGTATCAGCCTAAATGAATTAGAAATAAAGCTAGTGTTTGCAACATATTAAATAATTTCACCTAAATATTTTGTACTGAAGTGAAAACGGAGTCTGTGCACCTTCCTATATTAATATGATTTCCTAAAACAAAACTATATCAGCTGGTGAACCCAACATAAAAGCTGTTGAGGAATCTAACACAGACAAGTTAGCAGAAAAAATTTGTTTGGCCATTCGTTTTAACAAAATGCAGCCACACAATCAACTTCTTTGACATGGTGTTAATTAGTTTGGAGCTGATTTTAGGGTAAGCATTAAATAATAGATCGAACACAGTCTGCATTAGTTCAAAAGTAAGAAAACACAGTTGTGTTGACAGGTAGTCTGTTCACTGCCAAAAATAAAATATTAAACCTTTAAATTTGGTCATATGAGAGCATATCAACCAGCTAGTTGACCTGCAGACTACAGCTCTATATTTGTTCACAAGAAATTGCGTATATTAACTAACTAATCAATGTAAATAATTTACATCTGTTGTCGTGGCACAGCCACTTGGTTTTGTTTTTAAAGTTATAAAGATGAGAGAAATACTTTGTCCGCGTAATCTTAAACCTACAATACAATGTGCAGATAACAAAGCCTTACAAACATGTTGATTTCTTTAAAGGATAGTCTTGGAAACCATGAAACATGAATCTATGTAAATGTTTGTTTTCAGTTTTGCTAACTGCAGTGTTGGATTTAACATCCATCTGCGTCTCTTCCAGATCTTGTTGTGCGATTCGTGCGACAGCGGCTATCACACAGCCTGCCTCAGGCCTCCCCTCATGATCATCCCCGATGGCGAATGGTTCTGTCCACCCTGCCAGCATGTATGTACCTGTCACAGCGCCGAAAGTTCAAGATAAAATAAGCTAAATGAAATGTGAACGAAGCTCAAATGTTTTATTAATTCCCTCTGCAGAAGCAACTTTGCGACAAGCTGGAAGAGCAGCTCCAAAACCTGGACGCTGCTTTGAAGAAGAAGGAACGAGCTGAGAGGAGGTGCGAAAGTTTGTGCGAGGCCTGGCTTTTTTTTTTTTAAGGAACAGTTTGTTGTTCTACTGGTATTTTTTATTTATTTTATTAGACCAGTGATTCCCAACTGGAGGATTGTGACTCTCCAGTGAGTCTAAAGATAAATCTGAGGGCTCCCAGAGGAGTAATAGGGGGGAAATAGTTTGGTTTGAGGTTGTTTTTTTTTTTCATGCAAAAATTGGATTCTTTGACCTGTTAAATCCTCTAAAGATCATTTTACAAGACATAGTGAGCACAAAAAAAGAATAGCTGTTGTGGGCTGTAGTTTTCTGTGGTATCAGTGTGGATTTTCTTATATTGTCATGTTATGATAGTTCTGTTCTCTCTGTACATGTGGATTAAATTCCAGCTCGTTCACAGTGAAAGCTTTGCAGTGTTGGCGACATTTGAACACAGCACTTAATGCAAATATTTAAAATGATTTTCACAACAAATAATTAAAAGCATAATGCCTTTATTAAGCTAAATTAAGATTAAGTTCATGTCTTTGTGAGCTTTTCTAACATGTTTTATCTCCTCCAGGAAAGAGCGTCTAATTTACGTTGGAATCAGTGTTGAGAACATCATCACGCCCTCCGTAAGTCCACAGTGACGTCGTACCGTCTTTAGTGGAGACAGAAACACATTCGCCTGTTGATGTTTGTAACTTAATTCAAACTCTCGTTCCTCACAGGTGGAGGTGGAAGAGGAAAAGCCGGAGATCGTGATCAAAGAGAAGAAGGAACCGAAGCGGAGTAAGAGCTGGGGCCGACGTTCGACGAGGACGAAGAAAAACATCAGCTACAGGTTTGAAACACTCAGCTAACATTCAGCAGCTACACAGAAACATGAGTGATGAAAGGAACTCCAGTAAAACAAAGAGGCTCTTTCTTTTTTATTATGTTTAATTGAAGTATTCAACGTAACTATTTGAATTAGAATTTTTTTATTTTATTTTTTTTAAATACACAAAGATTGTTTGTTGACCGGGCTGCAAGGTGGCACGATGGTTAGCATCATCGCCTCGCAGCTAGAAGGTCACCCATTCGCTTCCTGGTGAGGAGTTTGCGTGTTCTCCCCGTCCAGCGTGCGTTCTTTCCGGGTTCTCCGACTTCCTCCCACACAGTCAAAAAAACATGTTGAGATTCATTGGTGATTCTAAATTGTCAATACGTGTGAATGTGAGTGTGCATGGTTGTCTGTCTCTATTACCCCTTTTCCACCAAACTGGTTCCAGTGCTAGTGCCTGACCTGGCACCAGTTTTTTGTTTCCACTGCCTAAGCACCAACCCCAGGCTCTCAAAACTGGTGCTTAGTAATCACCAGCTCTTTGGTGGGCCAGAGCTAAGCACCAGCTAAGCACCACTACTTCAGGGGCTGGGGGCAGGGTTATTGTGACCACCGAGACTGATGAATGAATGGGACACACAAGCGGTGATTTGTGTCGTTTTTCGCCAGGACGTCCCCGGTCCAATCACAAATGTATTGGGATGAGTCTGGGGACACATAGAGATTTTACACAACTGTGTCCCACCAGCAGTACCACAGTGGTGGAAAATGGGACTTACTTACTATAACTTCAGTATGCTGCAGTATTTACACTGTGGTCCTCTCATGAAAAATTGAGCGCACCTACGTGCTGTTCATTCCGCTCATAGAAAAGACCGCATGAGAAAAAAACCACTCAGTTTCATCTTGGACAAATCTGACATTAGAACGCCCTAGTTAACTCTTGTTAAAGTCATTTTTGGTCGCACACTGATCACCGCAGCCACCAACAGCCGCTACTGCAGCCTGCTATGTGGGGCGTTCAGGGAACATCAGTAAATTGTAGCGTTTATCGATAAGAAAATGTTCAACAAGTCATATGTTTTGCCTGTGACAAGGTGAGAAATGAGAAAGTTGGTCACATCGGTAAAAACGTTAGTCTGGAGTCCTGTGTGGACTTCCGTGTAACGCGAGCGTTGTTCAGTAAACGGCTACGTATGCAGTGACATATGGCGTGGCTCTAACTTGGCTCCCTGCCGATGGAAAAGCAACCAGTTCTTAGATTGGAACCAACCAACCAAGCACTGGCCCTAGCACCAGCAAGGCACTAGCACCTGGTGCTCCTTGGTGGAAAAGGGGTATTAATGTAGCCCTGCAATAGACTGGCAACCTGTCCAGGGTATCCCCTGCCTTCACCCTGAGTCAACTGGCATGGGCTCCAGCCCCCCCATTCTGATCCACAGACTGTACAACATTAATGTTTTTGATGTTTTTGAAAGATTTAAACGTAAATTGATGATGTGATAGCAGCTTAAAATATATTTAGAATCAGTAACTTTGACCTTGATTTGAGCAAATTAGCATGTGAAGGAATTGAGCAACTTTTTTCAGCACGTTTTTTCCCTACTTTACATTGAAATTTAAGTTATTTGCCAGCACTGCCTCAACACTTCTTGTCTAGCAGAACTCATTATATATTTAGACTATTGTCACAAACAGCAGGTTTATTACATCATGTTAGCAACTGCTGCTAATGATGTATGCTGCACTGTCTTTTATCTTAGAAACACTCTGGAGCAATTTAACTGCTACGTTTGGCACAGATATGTTTAAATTCCCTTCTTTGCGGGGAAGAAAATGATATACTGGGATGTGATCAGCCACTAATGAAATGGGCTTCTTGTCTTTAATTTTTTAGATTTGATGAGTTCGATGAGGCGATCGAGGAGGCCATAGAGGAAGACATCAAAGAAGCAGAGGGTGGAGGTAAGAGAACAAGAGATTTCATGACATTAAAAGTGAAAATTAACCCTCTGAACCCCAAGCAGTTTCCTTTTTTTTTTTTGCTCCATCACATTTTTCCACACTGTGGGATCATTGTTCACTTCATGGAAACAACACAACCCTGGTTGAAAGTAGAGAGAACTCAAAAAACTTAAAGTTTGACACTGTTATGAGAGAATTAATCATAAAAAAACCCCCACAAAATTGAATGATTTATTGTACAAAAATTGATAACATGTGGAATCAACATGTACAACATTTTGTCAAGTGCTTCATTTTTTGAAAATGTGACTGTTGTTTACAGCAGAGTCACTAATTTATGTCAAGGTGCACAGAATTTTCAGATTTTAGCAAAATCTGCACAATAAAATAATAACAATTTTTAACAATAAAATACAAACTGCTTATTTTTGGCAATTTTGTAAATGAGACCTATAGAATGTAATGGTTTTGATTAAATATCACAATTTTAGGCTTGATTTAAGTTTTCCAACAGAGCAGCAGGTCAGAGATGATTAGTTCATGGTTGGTAGAAAATTCTTTGCATTTTCTGGCTATGATAAATTCTGTAATTTTGGAGATTTTATTTGTTTTTTAATATAAGATTCCTTTCAAAGCTGCTGGCAGGATTTGGGGTTCAGAGGGTTAAAACACACGCACAATGTTTTGGAAAATTTGATTACTTTTCCCTGAAGATTGATACCAAAACCTGCAAACCAGCACGTCTAACATTTATTTAACACACTACATCTTGTCTGTTTAAAGCATAAAAGCTAGATGGAAGAAGTCCAGCTCTTATCTTCATATGAAAATGCAACATGTTGTTTTTCTGCTTAGATTTTTTACAAATTAAACTTGTGAAATGCCCCCAGATGTGATTGAAAACATCTGAATATGTAACATGATTATAAGGGATGTTGTTTATTTCACAGGAGCTGGTCGAGGTAAAGACATGGCCAACATCACAGGCCACAGAGGGAAGGACATGTCCACCATCCTCCATGGAGAGGAGGGCAAAGAGAACGGCCGGCCGCCTCGACCCAGCATCAGTCAGCGCAAGAAGAAACGCCGGCGACTCAATGACCTGGACAGCGACAGCACCGTGGACGAGGAGGAAAGCGAGGAAGAGTTTCGCCTCAGTGAAAGGTACACTTTGTCACCAATCCAGTATCTAAGTACAGAAGAGTTTGGTTGACTGGATACTAAACGCTCTCATTTTTGTTTTGTTTGGTTGCAGTTCAGAAGAGGAATTTGTCGTATCGGAAAACGAATCAGAAGCTGAAACAGAGGCAGAGTCCAACGGCAATGACAGCGACTTTGGCAGCAACAGCAGCAGCCGACGTCTTGCTTCCTCGCGGACCAGGAAGCCACCGAAACGCAGGCGAAGCTCCAGAAAGCGCAGAAGACCGAGAGGGTACTCGGATGATGAGGAAGAGGAGACAGATGAAGACGACGAAGAAGATGAAATAGGTATAAAGATTGTGGTAGCCAGTGCCTTCTCCTGTTTTTATGCTGTCAATACTCTCCTTTCTCTGTTGTACTTTTCTGGTAACACAAAAGAGGTTGTACTCTGGTTATTTTGAAGCCAGATAGATGTCTTTCTGTGAGCTTTAACTCTTAATATAGATTTGAAAGGCATGTTGCTGAAATTACAGCATTTATCAGCTAGAAACTCTAACTCTTTGTTCATTTATTTTGCAGAAATTTAAATATTAACACATTCAACATTTTTGGAAGTGCCCAAAGGTGTTGATGCTGTGTATACTATAGATATTTTACTATTTACATTTTTAACTTGTAATTTTGGCCACAGCTGAGCCATGAAGAGTGCAGAATTTTATTTTATTTTTTCCCCCTCATTTTATCTAGTGCAAACTGTTTCTTTTTGGCATATTTTACTTATACCATGTAGTGATTTTAAGCTTAAATTTGGTAAATTTTCTCAAAAGAACAGAATGTCAAGCTTTAGGTCAGTGGTCGTAGAAAAGTTGAAAATGTGATGATTTTTGCCCTTTTTGGCTGATAAACTGAATTTTCCTGTTTGTTATATTTTAATATTATATTTTTTAGAAGTTTTTTAAAATATGCCTGTAGGTTTGGGGTTTTAGAGAGTTGTGGTTTAAACCTAAAAAAAATTCAAACCTTAAATATGGCTTCATCTACAGTTAATACATAAATCATTAGAAATAAAATCAACCGTCAGTCTTGCAAGAGAAGCTGCTGCTTGAAGACATCGTCTTTCTTTAATGGTATTTGTAGTTGCCATTTCTAAATACAGTTTTCTGACATTTTGTAGACCAATTCTTTAATTGAGGAGTTAATGTGCAGATAAATTAATCGTATAAATAATCAGTAGTTTTAGCTGTTTTGTTTGACACTTTATTTCGGAGGTGTGTCAAGTCTTCATGAACACTGAAGTAAGTATTTTCCATGAATCGTCTGTGAAAAGTCTAAATAATACATTTTAAGTGTCTTAACACAATATTATCTGTTAAACGTTCCAGTCTGAGAGTTTTCATGTTGACCTGTAAAACTAATTTCGTGATTGAAGCTGACAGATATTATTCTCATGTTTGTAACCTGCTGTTATGTTTTTGCATCCAGTGACTGAAGGCTCCAGCGAGTTCAGCGACAGTGATCTGGATATGAGTCGACGGCGATCTCGACGGAGCCAGAAGAAGAAGGTGAACTACTGCGAGACGTCCGAGTCTGAAGGCTCTCAGGCAGAAACCAACCGGGCCAAAATGAAAATCAGACGTCCTCAGGACAGCTCGGAAAGCGAAGGTCAGTCAGAAACACACACACTGCTCACCCAAAGCCTTAAAAAGTTGCGTGTAGCTCAGAGCTTTACCTTTGTCTCAATGCATCTGTGCTCGAGATAATAATAATGTACAGTTATCATCGAGATGTATGGAGGTAAAGTAGAAGAAATTATTTTTGCCAGTCACACAGTGAGGAAGTAAAAATCCCACACTTGTCGCACTTTAGTGGCCTAGATTAACAACTGTTTTACACAACACCATTTTATACACACACAGACACACACACAAAGTCAAAGGTACAAGCTTGCGTACGTTAAAGTTGTTGGCGAAATTATGATGTTTGTGTCTCTAAAGATCACATCAGGAAAACTACAGACAGAATATGCAGCTTGAATCACATTAAAATAGTTTTGATACAATTTTGTGGCACCACATTTGCTCAACAACAACATTTTCAATTCCCTGATTTTCAGATTTAATGCTTTTGAGTGTCTCTTCTCCGTAGCACAGCATAAATCTCACACATCTAAATATTAATACCTGTTCACTCTGTCAAAGCGAAGGGCAACAATACAATTCCTCTGAAACAATTTTGAAATATTTAACTCTGGTCGCCACAACATAATCCTATAATATTGTTAGATTGTCCAGGAGAGTCCAATCAGGTGTCTGTGTTTAGCTTCATTAAAGACCTGGAAATGTTTACATTTATTTAAAATTTTGAAAAAATCTTGCGTTACAGGAGCAAAATAGGAAAGTAGATCAATAACAAATTTAGCTAAACATCATAAAACAAATAAATATAAGACATAAAAAAATACAAGGAGGAAACAGAGCAGACATTGTTTGAAACGGAAAACTATAAGACAGTTCTTTAGTAAACAGAAGTGCAGACAAAGTTGTAAAGAGCTATTTCTGAAATGGAAAAGCAAACTAAAGAACCAGAAGCTGCTCTCACTTCACTTCACCTCAGCTCTGTTGAACCACATGTTCGATGTTCAGCTGTTAGATAAGTTTTTCAGACAGAATATCAGTTTTTATCAATTGTGAACCTTTACAGCACCGTGGACAGCTACACCAAAACACTCCTGACAAAAATGAATCGTCATTGTTGTTGTAAACATTGTTCTCAGGATCAATTAGTTTTCTCGAAAAGGTCATCATTTGACATTAAAGTTGTACAATATATTACCTTTCTATGAACCTATTTTATCCATTTGTTTGAATCAGATTTTTATGTATATCACCCTATAAGTATGCCCTACTGGACAGATACAGAAAGTTTCTGCTCTGCCAGAGAAATAAGTTGCCTTCTCTGAAATCTGAGCTCAAGTCTCAGATATGAAGATTTAATAAAAATTATTTTTTGAGCTTGGCAGAGCAAGACGTAACAGTTGTATATTATAAATGTATGATGACAGCAGAATGACCAGCAGCTCAAGTCACTTGTTTTCTTTTCCCAGCGAGTTTCTCCAGAGACTCTGAGGAGGAGCCGAGGGATCGGAGGCTGAAAAGAAGAGCCGACTCCTCGGAGGAAGATTCCCGGCAGCGGCGCAGACGTCTCGCGTTAAAGCGCAGGAGAGCGTCTGAGGAGGACGACTCGGACAACGACTCAGACGAATCTTCGGAGGAGGACCGCCCGATCCGCAAACGGGTGAACCGCATCGACTCAGACGATGATGACGACGACGAGCCAGAGGAGAAACCGAAGGAGAAGAAAGCTGAGGAGGAGTCAAAGGGAACAAACCCACTGGACTGCAATCTGGCGGAGCTGCCACCCACCAATGGACAGAGCCCGATTAAGAGCCTCGAGGGCCTCATCAGCCGGCCTGCTGCCGCCGCTCCAGGCATCATCCCACATGTGGAGGCGCCCAAAAACACCAGTACCACACCAACCGCCGTCATAGCACCAAACGGGCTGGTCAGCCAGGACATGGCGGCGCAGGACGATGACGAAGACGACCTGTTAGGAGTCACAGACCTCGTGGACTACGTCTGCAATAACGAACAATTGTAAAAACAAAACAGTGTACTGTTTCTTTTTTTTTTTTTGTGGTATTGTATTTTTATATTGCTTAACTTTATTATTCCCCCCCCCCCTGCCAACACCTTCCACGTCGTCCTTTTTACTCGTGTCATCCGGAGCTTGATTCTCGGCACCAACAGCAGGAACTGGATCCCAGTCTTCAGTCTGTCCCTGTGGGATTGTGGAACCAATAAAGGCACTAACATATCGTCTCTCATTTGTCCGGTAATAAGAACCCTCAAACCATCATCATCAACATCCAGCTCCACTGCCAAACCACCTCTCACCTCTAAACATGTCACTCATTTGACATCTGTTTTTTTTTTTTTTTGTTGTTTTTTACCTTCAGAGATCTGGAAAGAAAATCTGAAGCCGTTAATTGAAAGGGAACTTTAAACATCATTCCATAATTGAGATAAATTTTTGTTCATCAGTTAACATTTTTTCCCTGAGAATACATGTTAGGAAAAGTGATTATTCACCTTAAGACAGAGAGGATTGAAACCAAGTCTTTATTGCAAATATGAAGCTGCAGCCAACAGCAGGTTATCCTCATCTGGCAATCATGATGTGGTGGCAATTTCAGAAAGGCTTGATGAGTATTGTGATGTTTTACATACAAAAAAAATCCACCTATCATGAAGTTTTTTTAAATCCCACAAAATAACACTTTATATCTTATTTGTTACCTTATGCTGTTTCCACTGTTTTCAGTCTCTGTGCTGAGCTAAGCTAAGCTAACTGGCTGCTGGATGCATCTTTTTATTCGTGTTAAAGATGTGAGAAATCTGCTTAATCTGTTCTACCTTTGATGAGACTATTTGTTCTTCTTTCTCTCATATTTGATAAGCTAACATTTCACACATCACAGCTGGTTAGATACTGGTGTTTCGGCAATATTCCCTGGTTTTTGTTTTTTTGTTTGTTTTTTTTTTTAAACCCTTGATATTAAATCTATATATTCAACCCCTTGCGTTGTATGAAGGTGTGAATGTATATATGTGACCAACCTGTCAGTCCTTCCCTTCCTTTCTTTGCTGAATGATAGAGTAGCTTTTGTATATTGTATACATACATACATAACTATTTTAACTTTGTGCGTTGCCATCAGCATCAGTGGTAAAAATCTCACTTTTTAGTTTGTCAGAAGAAACAAAATCAAAACCTCTTAATCTCAAGATCTAGTCTAGTGTCTTCTTACATTTATGTTACCTTGTGATTTTGATTTTAATAATGATGTATTTCTTTGTATATCTAAACCTTTATTTGTTGTTGTCGTCGTCTCTTAGAGCAAAATGTAAAGTGTCTTATTTTCTTTGTAAATTCATCGAAGGTTGAACACCTGCAGACTGCTGGCTTTTATTGACTAAAATAACACTCAGCTCCAAAACAAACCCTTTTTTTTTTTTTTTTTTAAATTTGTTTCTTATTCTACTTCCTGCGTACGTCTCTGTGTTTATAATCTTGAGCTGATGTTCGGGTCGAGTTGTTGCTGGACCTCAGCCAGATCAAGATTCTACAAAAAATTGTGTGGGGTGGGGGGGGAGGAAAAACAAACCAATGACTTCACTGACCTCTGCTGGAACCAGTTTGTGTGTATATCTGTAGTTTTTGCTGTAATATATTTAGAGGCATTTTTTTAATCATGGAAAAATATATCGGGCAATTCTTTGGGATTGCACGAGTTTCTAATAGTTTTCTTTTGTAGGGAAGTGATATTGGCACAACAGTTTTTGTAACAAAATCAGAAAACTTTGGCATGTTTTGAGGAGCTCTCCTCACCTGTTGGTGCTGAAGGGGCTAAAGGAGACTCCGCAGCATCACTTGCAGTCAAACTGCATTGGTAAGCATGCGCTGACCTACTAAAGGCATGTTGCAGAAGTTCCGGGGGGCGTTATCGTAGAAAATAATTTAGGACAGTTGAAAGAGAAGAAGCCTGTTTGTAAAATATTTTGTAAATTAGTCTCAGCATGGTCTTCACAGAGGATAAACCACTCTATTTATCATACCGTTTTTGATACTGGCCACGGCCCGAACAAGACTTCCAACACAAAAACCCTATATGTGCTGCTTGCAGTGCGCACACCGCAGGCTTCTATACACGATATTTAGCTTTTAGATTAGTCGGACAGAATATAGCAAACCCAATTTTACAAATGTACTAGAGGTGTGTTTTCTGGTGGGTCGAGGAGCGTCTGTGCTGTATGTAACCCTGTTTATATTCTCCACAGAGGCGAGGAGAATGTGTTCATATGTATCTCACGGTTATGAAATAACCAGTAGCAAGACCTGCGTAGGAACGAAGAGAGAAATAAATGCTGCGATGGGGTTCGAGGACAAAGTCGGTGCCAATGACTGAAGTGTTAACAGAGTTTCCTATTTACCTCATGATGAATCTGGGAGGAAAGACACCCTGTCCACTGTGTATAGGTCCTAGTAGACTGGTTGTTGGTGTTTTGTCTGCTCCTTACATTTTTGTTAACTTTACTGTTATTTCTTATGAATCTGATCTTGTACATTTGTCATAATAAAATGGGTTTGAAGCCACACGGTGTTATTTCTGGCTCTTTGTGTGGAAATTCAAGAGTCTTTGACCACCATTTGATATGCTGAGAATTGTAAACGCACCATATATTTTATTAGATTCAATTAATTATTATTTTTTTTAAACAATAGTGTTTCTGTTCCGAAACACGCTATCACTACAACAGAATCAATAATTAGAAGCTTTATTCACATTGTACTGCACTTTGCTCCCTCAGTAAACTAAATAACATATTCTCGAATAAAGATAAAACAACATATTCTCGATTAAAATTGAACAAACCTGGGTGCCAGTATAGCTCACCTGGTTGAGCGGGCGACCCATGAACAGGGGCTACAGTCCCTGACGCAGTGGTTGTGGGTTCGAATCCCGCTCACGACCCTTTGCTGCAGGTCTCTCCCTCACTCTTTTCCCCCCTTTCCTGTCTCTCTCCACTGCGCTAAATAAAGGCAAAAGCCCAAAAAATATATAAATTAAAAATAAAAAAAATAAAAAAAAATTGAACAAACCTGTTACATTTGAATGCTTAAAGTGCAAAATGTGGCAGCAGAGAAACAGGATATTATTGAGAAAGAGTATGTATTAATGGTGTAAATATCAAACAACTATATTAGAAATTCTTTTAATCAGTCTTGATTTAAACTCTGAGCACATTGAGCACATTTACAATAAAAAAGATCAAAATAATCCTTGAATAATCCCCAAAGGCTAGACGTTGCAGTGTATATTTGAATCAAGCTGCTTTTTAAGGTGAACTTTTAGTCACTGGTTATTGACCTTTAAACCCCACTGACCAGGCTGTGAATTAACTTTGTCAGAGAATTGGTTCAATTTAAACCTTTTGTAGCCGCAACAATGCAAGAAAGAAATTTTTAACTTTTTAAGTCAGAGAAAAAGACTATTNAAATCGTAAGTTTTCCACAACAAGCGGCTGAGCGGACTATTTCATGTCTCTCGTTGTGACGCGTTGCCAAGGTAACCGGTCGGCCGCAGCTGTTATATTAGGCCTAAGTGGAGGGAAGTGAGATGATTGCTTAACGTGAGGGCAAGTGCACCTCTTACCGCTTGTGTGTGTCCAGAGGATGATGCTGTCTTGCCCTTGTGATAAATAAACTGAAATAACGTATATTAACGTATGTTCTGAGTTTCTGTTGCCACGGTTACCAACTACCGTTTGAGTCAGCACATTAATTTAGAACAATCAGGTTATTTGACCGGAACTTCTTTATAGGTGTCCTATATCACTTTTTAATGGACACCCTGCAGCCAATCAGACCATGGTATAATGACCTTTAAACCCCACTGACCAGGCTGTGAATTCACTTTGTCAGAGAATTGGTTCAATTTAAACCTTTTATAGCCGCAACAATGCAAGAAATACATTTTTAACTTTTTAAGTCAGAGAAAAAGACTATTTGCTTGCTGTGTTTGGATTTTCGATCAGTGTCAAACTAAAAGTGATCAACCTCTGCTTCTGTCAGTAACTCATCAGTATTCAGTGTTTATTTCAGTGTTTATTTGTGTGTTCAGGATCAGAATCCACAGAGCAAATATTATATAAATGTGTGTTTTCATGCATTTTTTTATTTTTTATTTTTTGCTCACTTGCTTCACCCTCAGTAGTTTCACCTGTGTCTCGTTTCCTTATTGCTTCTCTCTGGATTTATATTCTGTCTCTTCACCACTGTTCTTCCCCTTAAAGCCTCCCTGTGTTTCTGTTTTTTTTGTTTTGTTTTGTTTTGTTTTGTTTTGTTTTGTCTTTATCACCTTTTGAATTGGACTTTGCATCATTTGGTTTTTCATTTTTGACCTACCTTGACCTCTAGCTGCTTCAGTTTTGTTGTCCACAAACATACATGAACTTTTAGCTTCTTATTCAGCATCTCAACCCTTCAGATTAAAGATGAAAGTTCTGTTAAAAGTTCCACAGTCCAAGCTTAAAACAAAGAATGATTGTTTTAGTCAAATATTCAAAGACATGTTTCGGCATCAACAAACTCATCATCTTCCACTGAGTGTCTGATAACTGGACACCTTTTTAAAAAAAATAAAAAATCTTAATGTGTGCAATCTGTGAAGTCTGGGAAATGCTTGAATTTCACCTTGTGCTGCCGTCATGTTGCTCCATCGTTTCTCTCAGTTCGTTGGTGGACAGATGGATGCTGTCTCCGAAGGTGTTGACGGCAATGTTGCAACGGTCTCTGGAAGAAAAAACACACGCTAAACACAACACATTAAAGCTATTTACCGCTGTGTTTTATTTAAACTTCCTCATGTGTTCAAAATGTCACATTGGGAACATTTGCAGCGCTGCAGCAGTGAAGTAGATGTAAAGCAAAAATGTAGAAACACCAGAAGAGAAAAATAAAATTAAAGTAACAAGTCCCTGAAATTACAATTAAATTTCATATCATAGAATGCTTCATTGTTCAATAATAAATAAAGACACAAATATGTGAAATAAACATGACTCTGAAAAAAATCATAAAATGAAACAAAAAAGAGACAATAAATATATTATTAAATACAATAATAAAAAATAATAAGTATGGTAATATTTTAAAATTACATTTTTTTCCTCTTTTATTTGCTTCTGAATTTATTTAAAAATCGTATATATATAGACCATCGGGATATTAGTTTATTTGTGTATTTATTTAATATAGAATAACGTGGCTTTGCACACCTGTGTTTGAGGAGCTCTATTTCTTCACAAAGCACAGCTTCCCTCCCCTCAGGTGACAGGTGCCGCTGGATGGAGAAGCAATGGGTTTTCACCACCACTCCGACCTGAAGACATTGTTGTTTTTGGTGAACAGTTTGCCTGTATGGAGATTTATGGATTCTCAAAATACATGGATTATGGATTGTCAAATTTAACAAGCTGAAGACCATTAACGGTAAGAAAGGAGCAGAAGGTATTTGTCTTGACACTAATGTGGGAGAGCGCCTCATTCATACCACTTTCTTTTTTTTTTTAATACCTTATTTGTGAATTTTCAAATTTTTACAAACACAACGGAAGAAGACAAAAACAGACGTAATGCAATTAAAAGAAAAAGAAAAAACAAACAAACAAAAAACCAGACAAAACACAGACAGGCAAACGGACAGGGAAAAGAAATAAACAAAAACAAAACAAAAACAGAAACTTCCAGTTTTCATGAAAAACAGGAGTCAAACAAGAAAGAGTCCAAGTCAGGCCAAACAGTGCAGAGTCCAGAGGTTAGAAATCCGGGATGTGGGTCCTAAAGGGTACTCATACGACTTTCTGCTTAGCTCCCATTTGCATTTTAGCATGCTAACATCAATAGCTGAAAGAAGGATGAGAAGCTTGTTGCCTTGAGCTAAATGCTAACACTAGCATGTTAATGTACTCAATGACGATTCCACATATCACCATCATTATACTTTCAATTCGTAAATATATATTCACACTGATATATAATGAAATATTTATGCATTCTACTATTGAACATATTCATCATGTTAACCAACTTTTAGCATGCTAGCATGCTAATAATGGATGCTGATGAAATGTCATTCATTATGTGGTTATTTGCCAAAGTTTTGGACAGTTTTGTATTTTCTTGTGCTACATGCTAACACTAGCATGATATAATGTTAACAGTGACAATACTGCATACAACTGCTAAAAGTAAACAAAAGTATCAACTAAACTGATTTTTAGATATAATGTTTACCATGTTCACCAGCTTAGTGTAGCATGTTAGCATACCAACATTTGCTTAAGGGTCATGAAATATTAGATTCCCAAGCATTTGGTTGTGAACCAAAGATAAATGAATAATTCAACCACATGTCAAAACTGATTTTTGTTAAAGCTATATTGCCATCTGCTTTTATCTGGATCTGGAACAGTCACAGTGTCCTAATACACTTGACTTTTTCTGTGTTGTAATAGCAAAGTGTGTATTTGTGCAACTTTAATGGTTAATCTTGCCTTTAACATGTGATCAGGCATGACATTAGCCACAGACAACACTACAGTGCTGATTTCTGTTTTTTTGGCTTTTTGTGTTTAGCAATATTCTGTCATGTCTAGAACCTTCAACAATTTCCCTGAGGTTTTACCAAAGGGATCAATAAAGTTGTGTCTATCTATCTATGTCTGTCAAGTTTTTGGTTTGTGTGCACATTTTATGTCTCTTCTTTCCTGTTTTATTTCAAAGTCACTAATCGGTTGTCTTTGTCTTCGATTTACTTCCTGCACCTGTCTTGTCACACCTGCTCCCTGATGGCTTTCCCTCACCTGTTTCCCATCTCCCCTCATTACCTCGTGTATATTACCTTGTGTGTCTCACTGTCTCATTGCCTGTTTGTCGTACTTCACAGTTGTCGTCCAAGCGTTTCCTAGTCAAGTCATAGTCTGTTTGTTCACGACCTTGTTTCAGTTTTTTTGGACCTTGCCTTTTTGCCTGCTGATTCTTGGATACCTCTGCCTGATTGACTGAACTCCTGTGTACTGAACCCTGCCTTTCATTAAACCTGTCTTTTGCCTGGACCCATTCTGTGTCACGCATTTGTGTCCACCTGTTCTGAAATCAGTGAGTTCATGACATATTCTTGTTTACGCTGCAATTACCATGATTTATGGATGAATTTCATATAAAAACAAATAAATTATGACTTTTTTAATGATCCTATTGACTGTGATCTTTAAAATTTAACCTTCATGAATTAAATCAAAATGTGATTGTGCATAGTTGTCTGTCTCTGGGTGTGGCCCTGTGATGGACTGGCGACCTGTCCAGGGTGTCCCCTGCCTTCGCCCTGGGTCAGATGGGATAG